TGGTTTTACTAGATCATTGCTTACGACATCGTATCCAACTGCTTTTCTTTTTTGTTTTTTTGTTTACAGTTACACTATTAACTGTATTAATGACAATCAATTTAGTAATTGGAGTAAAATATAAACTGTCTCTATTTGGCACATTCAAATAACTGGTAACTGGTAACTTGTAATCGGATTGATTGTGCCAAAGAAGCACCTATATTTGAGAAATATTCATTTTGGGGATTCAGCTATAGAATGTTGCTCAGTAATGCTTAATTGTCCGTTAACATGCAATTTACTGATCCCGGCACGAGTTTGGTTATGCTTAATACAGAGTTTATTACATTCCATGTGCCTTTCATATCATTAAAATCAGATTAAAAGGGTAAAGAATAATATTCATTCTTTGCTATGCTCAGTACAGATGTGAAGATGTTTTTGTATTTGTTATATTTGGATTTAGATTCGGACTCTTTTTAACTTTAAACTGATGAAAATAAAAAATGTTAATTGATTTTAATATAGACTTGGAAATCCATGGAAAAAGAGAAATTGTTTTTCTTTTTTTAAATTTTGGCCTAGTAATGAGACGGATAAACGAGATTTAATTAAGAGTATCAAGAAATTCATTAATACGCAAATTTGCATCATGATGAAGGAGATCAATATTAAAGTCACCCATGAGGAAAACCATGGACTTATTAATAACTCTATGGGAAAACGTTTTCATTGGTTAAAACATTATTTAAAATAATGTTCTCATTTTCAGCATTAAATAATGAGTAAAACGAATGTAGAGTTGCAGACAACCAAGACCCCAGCTCTTCATCAGACACATCATAATTAATACAGGTAGTGGTATTATAATCAACCATACAAATAAATCCTTACTTTACAAAACCTTTGACAATACAAGAATAAAAGAAAGGGGTAACAACATTTCCAGGAAAAAAAAGTGAAATAAAAATTTGGAAACATAACTACAAAAATATAAATAATCATTTACCCCAGCCCAACCTTGGTGGGGCTGAGGTGTAAAAGTCCGTCCCTTCCAACCCCCACACCCCCAAACCCCCTAAAATCTCAGGATCCGCCACTATATTTTAAAAATGTAGTGTGGAAACAAATTTTAATTGCATTCCTTAGAATTAATTAGATACTACTTATAAAAAGGCTATAGACGCCAGAGCTTCAGGGTCTACTGCCCGAGACTTCCTTATTTTGCAAATCGTCACCCCCGCCTCCGTTCCCATTTTTCACAACGGGTCGACGGCATTGGTTGTTGTAGAACATTCTGTTAACTTTAGTTTTGCTTTAGTAGCTGCATTTTCTTTTAGTTCCCGTTTAGAACAGTAGTATTCGTTGAAAAGTACAAGGTAAGGTAGGTGAATAAAAGAACTGGAATTGAGGAGACGGGGAAAAATTAACACCTTACACTTGAACGCCCTTCCTCTCTCTACATTAATTTTCCTATTTACGATAGTTTGATTTGAGATAAACAATCTTAACTAATAAGTGTAATTTTTAATTACACTTAATCTTAACTAATTTATTCTGTTTAAAAATATATTTTATAAATTAAGTTTTATTGTAAATGTTATCATAATCTAATCCACATATTGTTTGTTTTCATTTATATAAGCATTAAAAAAAATCATTGGGGTTGGGCCTAATGCTGGATGTAAATATAAGAATTAAATGAAAAGCATCGCCAATGTGTTTTCGTGTATGCTGATGCTAATACCATCGCGCGAATACCGCGTGTTTTTGATCAGCAGAGCTCATGATGGTTCACAAGAGGTGACGAATCCGTCGAATAAATAACTGCAATTATGAAAATAAATTTCACACGAAATGACGAATATCTTAATTACAATCTTAATTAGTAAATTATTAATTAACAAATAGGTTTATACAAACACCTATACCTAGAGTTAATCAACATATTTTAATTAATAAATACAAGAACCTTGATACGATTTTTTAAGGTCAGAAATTGGCATAAGAATGTGGTACATGCTGCATTTGTGGCCATAACAGAGGTGCACCCGAGTTTTGAAAAGACTCGGGATTAAATGTTGCTGATAAGTTAAAGAGCGATGGGTTCTTAAAGTATTTATTGCCACTGAAGCTGATGAGATCAATGCGTTTAGCGGTGAGTGTTTTTAACTCCCAATGGACATTCTTAGAACCATTTAAGTTTATGGAGCTGCTGAAGCCTTCCTCTGAACCATCTGACAGCTCACTACACCAACTCATTATGGAAGATTTCTGCTAACGAACGGTTCCCTATGAATTTTTTCTATCACGAAGATCTTCGTATTTGTCAGTTCATGGAGGGCATCACTAGTTGGTAATACCTAATCTACACTCTCTAAATGTATACTGTTTTTTGGTATTATTTACCACCAAAGACAAACAATCCTGCAATGTGAGGACAGTAAAACAAAAAAGATGGTAAGGTCCTGTCAAGGGGATGTGATGCTATGTTCAAAATGTGAAAATAAACGATTTACAAACGACCAACCTGCGACTAAATCGTTACGCACTAAAAA